TTTGAATGTGTTTGTTTTGGGATGTATTTTGGGCTTACATACAGGCATATTGTGAAACTGTCATAGCATTTTGTAAGTTTTATATATGGCCAGTTATTAAAATGAAACCACAATAATAATTAAAACAGGAGCTCCCTCTAGAACAGTGGTTCTCAACCTTCCTAATGCCGCGCCTTTAATACAGTTCCTCATGTTGTGGTGACCCCCAACCATAAAATTATTTTCGTTGCTACTTCATAACTGTAATTTTGCTACTGTTATGAATCATAATGTAAATATCTGATATGCAGGATGTATTTAGGCGACCCCTGTGAAAGGGTCGTTCGACTCCCAAAGGGGTCGTGACCCACAGGTTGAGAACCGCTGCTCTAGAAGAAGACCATTCTAGAAAGCTTTTTTCTTTATGTGGGGATTTAATGTTTTAGTAGAAAAGTAAGATGCTTTGGTAGAATGACTGTTTACTAACTTGGAAACAATGCTTTTTGGATTTATTTCCCCCCACCAAGTGCTAAAAATAAGAGGACCAGCTTGGCCCATCCTGTGTTAGGTTCTGCCTCGCACCACCTCAGTGTCCCTTGCTGTTTTGAGCAGTAGCTGTCTTGAATCTATTTTTAGTTCGTCAGGAACGTGAGGGTAGGACATGCTACATTAGGATAGAACAGTTCTGGGAAAAGCCCTGTTTTAATGTCATTTGCGAAGTAAGAACGGAAATAGTTAAGACAAGAAAACTTTAGGAATGAGATTTCATTATTAGTATATTTGGGTTGACTTGTGGTTTAGGACCTAAGTTGAGGAATTAGAAGTTCCTTTTTTTACGCTTTTGGTGTTTTCTCTCTGTGACATCTGAGGAAACAAACTTTTTTTAAAAAAGTACTTTTGCTTAACTTAAAAGACTTTATATCAGTCTTACGCTTAGTGTCAAAAAGTAGAGTAAGCGCAGAGAAAAATGTTTAATAATATTTTGGTATGTTGGGGCTATTCTTAGTTTGTGTCCCATATGTTCTGTTCGTGATAAAATTGGACGATTAAAGTCTCTTAATAGTCCAGTTGATTTGATAGGCCTTTATACCTGCAGTTGCTCAGAACCATTCTCTTGGGAGGCTCCTGTCCAGATGTTCCCAGGGTCCTCAGATTGCTGAACCAGTTCAAAATCACCACCATTGTAGAAAGCGGTCAGTCCACTGAAGGGCATCGCTGCTGTGGGCAGCCCCGAGCACTGCCCAGTCACGGCTGTTCTTCTCTTAACAGCAGGTCTTTAAGATGGGGAGTCAGGACCCGTCCTACCAGTTCATGTTTTGCATGGACCTGCCTCTGTCCCTGACTGCACTCCTCCATCTCCCTTAACAGTCTACAGGATATTTCACACAGTTTGATTCTTCGTTCTTTTTTAAAACCTGTGCTTGTGGAGTGGTGGGGGCAGAGGTTGGGAAATACCAGCACCGTGGAGATCTTTCTTCTTGGAAAACTTCCTTTTCTCCCTTCAAGCCCACATTGCAGTGAGCCAGGACATTTACTCTACGTTTATGTCACCGAGAACATCTGAAGCTAACATGTCAGGCTGAACTTGGCACCCAGCGTTAAAGTGACTTCATGTTTTACCAAAAGATGATAGTGTTATTCAGGAAACTTTATGTGCAATGCATTTTCTAGAAGTTTTCATTCTTCTTTCATTCACGCAGCAGATATTTAAAGAGCACCTACTATGTGCACTGCACTCTCCTAGGCACTGATGGGACATCAGAACAAAACTGAGGAAAGTCCTTGTCTTAAACTTACTGTGGGGGGTGGTGAGTAAGTTGTACGCAAAGAACATCACAGATGTAGTAGAGCCACGAAGGCAGGAGCCGTGAGGTAGAGAACAGGCGAGGGTGGTGGTTTTCTCACAGCTCTAGGAGGAAGGCACTGTTTTTATCCCCAGGGACAGATGCGGAACTGAAGCACAGAGGTTAAGCGACTTATCTTGAAACTACCTTGGTAGTTGGTAGTAAAGGTTGAATTTGACTTTGAAGTCAAGCATGAGCTAAATTTAACTGCCTCTAAGGTACTGAAACTTAAATGCTGGTTTCCATGAAAATTTAGTCTCTCTTCAACAGACCTTCTGTTGTATTGGTGTGTATACATGGACACATTTTAAGATATTAAAATACTGCCCTAATTTCAGAATGTATCCCAAATTGACCATGCACCACGATCTTCACAGCTACCCACCCTAGTCCAAGCCGTCACCCATCCTCTCCTAGACTACAGCAGTAGCCGCCCCAGTATCTCTGCCTGCGCCCGTGCTCCCCCCAGTTTATTCCCCATCGCAGCTAAAACAAATGTAAAAATGTAAGTTAGATCACGTTTTGTTCAAAGCCCTTTGGTGGCTTCCCGGAGCCAGAGCTCTCCCAGGCCTGGGAGGCCCCTTTCATCTCTGAGCTTGTCTACTGCTCTCTCTCGCCTGCTCATTTTGCTCCAACCACACTGGCCTTCCTGACCTCGAACATGCCAAGCACAGTCCCACCGCACCCCCCAGCTACCATCTCTTCCTTCAGGGTGTCCAGACGCCCCTTTACCAGAGAGCTTTCCACAGAGATTGTGGCTCTTCCTTCTGCTTTATTCTTCGCTAACGGTGCTCATAACCACCTGGCATCATGTCGGTTCATTCGGCTCTTGTCTTTCGGCCTCTAGAACCTGAGCTCCGTGGGAGCGGAACTGCTTAGGTTACTGTGGTGCTCATGATGTTTGCTGAATGTGTAGCTGAAGAGGAGTCAGGACTAGAAGATGACGCACCACCTGGGTTTTGAATATTCAGTTAAACACTCTCGTGTGTGGTTTCGGTCCTTGGCCTCCCTCAACTCCGTGTATTAATTTCTCCCGTTGGTCAGTATGTACAGAGCTGTTATGTGTCTGGCACTGCCCAAAGCTGGGGATACAGCGTGAACAAGGTAGGCATGGTTTTCTCATGGAGCTTCCATTCCACTAGGGCAGTGGTCGGCAAACTGTGGCTCGGCAAACTGCAGCTCGCGAGCCACATGCGGGTCTTTGAAACAGCACAGGGAGATCTTACCGACTTCTGCTCATGGGCCACGAAGTTTCAATCACACTGTGAGTGCGCGCCCGCACGTGGTATTTTGTGGAAGAGCAACACTCAAGGGGCCAAAGAGCCGCATGTGGCTCGCGAGCCGCAGTTTGCCGACCACAGCACTAGGGAAACAGAGTAAGACAGTGAGTAAGAAAGGTAAGTATTAGCAGTCCATGAGGAGTGTGCGAAGGATGTGAACAGAGACCCGTGACATCAAGTGAGGGTGGCGCGGAGGGCTGTGCTAGATGCCATGGCGGGGGAAGTCCTGCAGGTGACATTCAAGCTGGAGAGAGAACCAGCCATGCCAAGAATGAGAGAAAGTGCCCAGAGGCCAAAGGACTAGCAAGCGGCCAGAGATAAGATGGAGTTCACGATGTTCTAGTAAATGTCAGAGGGCCCGCGTGGCTGCATGGGATGCCGTGCGCCCGGAGGCAGCCGCTGGCGCAGTGAGGACTTAGTCCAGGTGCAGCGCAGAGCCGCTGCGGGTGCACGCGGGAGAGTGACCGGTGATTCTAAAGAATTCCTGTGCGTGCGGTGCGGAGAGTGGGTGGGAGGAGGGACTATGACAACATGCTACCCTTTCTTGTCACTTAGGATTTTATTCTATACTTAGATTTTTAAAATCTCCCTGACCCTTGGCAACCTCCATTTTGCTTTCTGTCTCTGTGACTTCACCTAGTCTGGGCACCTCATGTGGAAGCGCACAGCATTTGTCTCTCTGTGACTGGCTTCTGTCACGTAACAGAATGTCCTCAAAGTTCACCATGTGGTGTGTACATCAGAATCTCCCTCCTTTTTAAGGCTGAATAAGATTCCATTGTGCGGACTCACCACATTTCATTTATCCATTTATCTATGGGATGGACACTCGGGCTGCTTCAACTTCACGGCTATGGGAATAGTGCTGCTGTGAAC